GCCACGGACAGATATCAAGAGATCCTAAGGTCGTCAAGTAACGCTTTAAAAAACCTACAGGGAGGGCCCAGCATGGTAGCCTAATGGCTAAAGCCTCACCTTGCATGCACCAGGATCCCATATGGGTGCCGGTTCTAACCCTGGCAGCTGCACTTCCCATCCAGCTCCCTGTCTGTGGCTTAGGAAAGCAGTGGGGGGTGGCCTTGCACCAGCATCGGAAACCCAGGAGAAGCTCCTGGCTTCAGATCAACTTAATTCCACAGCCTTTGTATTCACTTGGGGAGTGAACCAACAGATGGAGGATCTTCCTCACTGTGTCTCTTTCTCTCTGCACATCTGCCTTTCCAATAAAAATAAATCTTAAAAAAAAATCCAATGTAGATTACTAATTCCACAGTGAGAGAAAACAATTACAGAAAAAACACATTATAATCAATGAAAAAAATTCAACATCAGTTTTAGGTTAAAAAAAACTGTCTAAAAAAAGAAACCACATCAGCTGAGCAAGAGGAGAGAACGCACATGGCTGTGTCTGTGTCCACTGCGTCTGTCTGCAGGCTCTGTAACTGCACATGCGCTTACACACACAGTCTGCCTTTATCAAGATGGACACTCACCAGCAGCCTGACTGTGACGCTCAGAGCGATTACCATTGAGGAAATCTCTCAATCTTCTATAGTATAACAACGCACAAAGCAACAAGGCCAAAGACCTCGGCACAACATTTCCTTAACCACAAGGTTTTAGAGTGATAGCACACACCTTAAAACAGAGGATGATTCAAAACCTACTCAGAGTCCAAGGTCAGGGCCAAAGGCAGTGGCTTGGTACACCAGGTCAGTGGGAGTTTTCATTCACCATTTTGTTTTTCTTACTATGATTAAAACCAGCTGATGTCCAGAACACTGAGCTTACCAGGCCTTCTCTCTCGCTCTCTCTCACGGGCGCTCGCTCTCTCTCACACACACACACACATACACACACACACCTGAGGGATTACACTGCAGCACTTCTCCTCCTGTGCTGGCCATGCTGGTGGGTGACAGAACCTCTTGCCTGCATCTGATCTCCAAGTCACTCAAAAGAATTCCCATTCCTACCACAGCTACCATAGTGACAAATGGGACTACTGGGAGCAAGTCAACCGCTCTCTGTGTAAAACAGAAAAGCAAAACCAAGAAAAGCCCAAACCCTCCAAAGAGAATAGATCTACAGCCTTATTGCATTTAGTACATAGTCAAAACATGGGAATGACATGTGAGAATCAATACAAAACATTTATTTTTCCAAACCACAGAATTCTTAATCCCAGAGCCACACTATAAATTTTCCAGAAGTAAGTCATTAACGTTTCTCTAAACAATGCAGTCCAACAGTTATTTCCAGCCAGCGGGGAAAGGTGTGATCTTGCCAGGATGGAGTCTGTCGAATTCTGCAGCCACCCAGCTCTGCACAGGAGTTCTACCAGGGTCTTGGCTGGCGGGGGGAAGGAGGTGGCGGCAGCTGTAATCCACAGTGGGGACAGAAGAGGACTCACTCTCCCTTCTTATGGCCTGGTGGCCAGTAAGGGGGTGATGGGGAGGAATTTAACAGGAGAATATTTCTGTACCAACTCTCCTGACTTCATTATAACCTCTGATAAAGGCCAACTTTCATCTGAGGCGATGTTATTACACCATAATCACCAGAAAGGTCCCGTGAGTCTCCCAGAAGTGCCAGTCAAGGGACCCACATTCTAACCTTGAATTCTCATCTCCTTCAGAGACCTAGACATAGATTAAAGTAAACAAAAAATCTGCAAGCAAAAAAGTTCAATGAGATACTGTAGAAAAAAATCATGTCAGAACACCCCACACAATGAGCGCGCAGATAGCTAACCGTGGAGTTTTTGCTTTGCTTTGTAGCTATAAAGTTTTCTAATTTCTCAGATTAGTGTATATTTATAAAACAATGCTCAGTTATTTTAGTAATAGCTGCTTATTAAGAGGTTAAATTTTACCTCAAGGGCAACACCTCCTGCACAATAATCATAAAAATATGGGGGTCGGACTAGGGAGAGGAGGAAGCAGATAAAGAAAACACAGCCAGCCTCAACCACAAGACAAATCTGGAAGGGCCACTGTTCACAGGGAAAGGAAACAGGATTATCTTACTGCTATGCTACAGGTGCTCCTGCTTACTCTATAACTGCAGAAACCAGTTCTGCTTTCTGATCACCATCCTCTCTGCCTGTATATGTACAGCCCGCAGCTCTGCAGTCATCCTGTGCCGAAAAACCTTCAGATGCCTTGTGTGGTCAGTACAAATACTGCAAGGTGATCCAAGTGCAAACTCTTCCTGAGCAACTATTCATGTGTGCAAATCTGCAAATGGACAGAAAGCATAGTGTGCAGCCAGGGTGCAGCAGGTACAGGTGTGAGCACTGGAAATGGGAGTGCAAAGCTCATGGCCACAGACATCACTCTCCAGCAACCTCGTCTGCCCTAGACCCACATGAAGGAAACAACTGCCATGAACTTGGAAAAGGGGCAGAAGCAGGTATTCCACAGAATAATACACAACACACGTATGCAGGCTTCTGCCTTTTCTCTACCACTAACTCAGACTGGGAACTATTATGCTAAGAGTCACAGCACAGGCTTTTCCTTTCTGTCCGGAGATGACAAAGGAGTAATTCTTTTGGATTAGGGCATGGCTGGTGACAGCAAAGGTCATGAGGTGACACCATGGCAGAAGCTTAAGGCTGACCTTTAAAATCCATAGCATCTCTCAAAACAACCATCTGTGCATCATTATTGCACGATGACTGACCTGGTCTTCATTTTAAGGGTTTAGTTTCAGGTTGAACATACATGGGTCAGTCAGTTTAGCCAAGTCAACTGCATGTGCTGACTAGCCAATCAGCCTACATGCACAAGATTCTGGCTTTAGTAACCGAGGCCTGCAGTGACCGGGTACCGCAGCCAACAGCTAACACGGATGGGCAACTGCACACTATGTCGGCAACAATACAAGTCACCAAGGGAAGCAAACACCTGCGGCCAACAGTGCTCCGACAATACGAGGCAGGGACACAACTGATCCTCTTCTACATTGCAAAATAAGAATTTTGGCAAGAATCCCAGTAAATAAGGAAAGTCATTTTCAATTTAAAATAATTTTAAAAAGGGGTTCTTCATACTGTCATGTACTTCCAGGGGGCAAGGTGCTGGGAGAGTTACCTCCAATCACAGCTTGGTGGGAGCAAACCCCAAACCATATCACAGCCACTCTGCAAACATTTAGGGAAAATAAGTTTTGCAAACTTTACTTCATCCGCTTTTTGTTAACACAAATAAGAACATCAACTATTTCTCTATTCACTTGATGAAAAAACATCCAGAGATTTCAATGCCAATTGACAAATTATAATGCTTTATAGGGAAAATTCTGTTATTGGCCAAAAAACACTGCTCTCTCCGAGAGAAAACATTTGGGTGTGAGCATACTGAAGCAGTCATCCGCATTTAAAGGAACATTAAATTTTCCCTCTTTCAAAATATTTGCACAGAAGAAAATTCTGTGAGGGTGTTATCTGTAAGTCTGCAGAAAGCATTCCATTGGGAAGTGAACTTGGACTGCATGATAAAATGAGATGCTTCTTGGTACTACGATGTTAAGGATGCAGCAAATCGAGCTGCACAGGCATAATCAGAACTTGCTATGTTCTCCCAGTTAAGTATTTCAGAGTTCATCAAAACAATGCAAGACGCTCATGTACTTAACGAGTACAATTCAAGTCCTTTGCAAATACCACAATTCTGGTGATAAATACTTAAACTGGACAATCTTTACTTTCATTTTTTTAAATCACTAGATGTCCCATTCCCAGTTCTAATTCTTCTACCACCCCCTCCCCAAAATACTCAACAGAATGGGCAGCGGCAGTCAGGAACCCAGCACCTCCTGTGTGACAATGCTCCTGGTCTGTCTGCCCTCACCCCACTTCTGAGATGGACAGTACTAGTCTGATGGAGCCCCCAGGAGTGAACCCTGTGTTTCACTCAGATACTAAGAAAACTTCGAGCAGTATGTTTCTCCCTTTCCACAGCTTCCTCTTTCCTTTGTCTTTCAAAAAGCACCAGAATAATCTTCAGAGTCATCTAAAGAGACTGGAACAGCACTGTGGGTGTGGGGAAACAGGAAACAGCTCAGCCGCAGCTGGAAGGCAGCCTCAAACAACAGAGCTACTACTTCCCCATTACAGCCAAACGTAACATACAAGAGATGCAGACTACAGACTTGCCATAAGTACTCAGACCATCCATTTAACATACAAGCTCTCGGGAACCCCGCAGCACTGCTTTCATCTGGATTTAGGAACTACACTGCTTCTCACGGGTCACAGCACACAGTTCTTACTGCTGGATAATTCCCCGCAATTTTGAAAGGAACATTTTCATGCTGGAGTACCGTCCCCTAAACATGAGTCCCATTCCCCCAAAACTACGACAGCTGACAGAGGGAATGGAAATGCTCTGGTCCCCAACATGACACGACCTGGCAAAGCACGGGGACACCTGATCACTGCGAAACACCTCTCTATTTCCTCACTTAATGAGCATCTTGTCACAAAGTCATACTTGACATGTTAGTGAGTCTGGGATGCCACAAACTTCTCCAGGAAGCATGACAATACGGTCATACAGCTGCAAAGTGCACAAAGCTCAAGGCACAGAGTAGAAACAAGTTGTGAACTGATGGGGGGAAGTGGAGAAAGCGGAGTTAGCATTTTCCTTTCACAAGGCTTCCTAATGCTGAACAAAAACCAAGTCTTTGAAAGGCAATTGCTTTGATTATGGGTATTGTATATCTACAAATACTGTATTGAAATAACCTGCTTGGTTTTAAAGCAAAAGTATTCGTCATGGGAAATCAATATGTTGAAGTGCCAAGTCCACACATGAACAAAACAAGTGCTTAACAACAGCAACAACAAAAAGAGAGAGAGAGAGAGATTCTTCCACTCAAATTCTCATATTTTTGGAGGAAGCTGCTGAATTTGGCTGTCCGATTTCACTTAGCAAGGGTCACTTTCCAAGATGCTTGCTATTCACAGACTCTGTAGTAAAGTCATGAAAAGATTGTCCCATTTCAAAATCACCCCCAAGTCTAGCAGCAACTGTTTTATGTTTTTTGTTAGTTTTTTTGTTATTTAAAATTGCAAACCAAAGTAAGAGGTCCGGCATCTTCTTCTGAGAGCATCTCTGCGCCTGCGCGCCTGAGCATGGCAGGCCCCGCTGTGCTCTGAATAGTCTCCAGTGTGTCCTCCTCGGGACGGGAAAAAGGCTCAGGACATTCACTATCTGTAACCCCTGGAACTTGCACATGCTGACGAACTGTCTGGAAAAAAAGCACAGCAGACACGAAAAAGGGTGCATGGCAGATAGCATTTAAGAAGGGCAAGGAGCTACTCAGTCAATGCCTACACCCCTCCCAAAAGAATCTGGAGAAAAAAGAAAAAAAACCTCAAAACCATGTGAAAAGACATCAGGATTATCAGGAATCGAGTCATTAGCACGAACCAGTCATTATCCCTTCTGGGTGGGAGCAAAGAGCTGTGGTGACCTCTGGCCTCTGCCTGGAACCAGCATGACCACACTGATTGCAGGGCAGCCTGTGCTGACCACCACGGTGCCCCAGACACTCTACACACCCATCCCACCAAACACTCAAGGACAAAATGAACGCCATTACTTACTATAGGCCAACTCATCCCCAGCTCTCTTCCGGGACTGGTCACCTCTAGGGGTAGGAAAAGAAGCAGCAGTCAGCAAAGCGACAATCTGATTCTGCACACACCAACAGCACAAGGAATGACATCATTGATAACACAAATACAGCAGCCATCTTAGTTCTAACCCAGCAACTGTTTTAAAGCAGTTCAACCTGAGCAGAGTCATTTATCGCCTGAATAAAAACAGTATGGTTTTTGAAGTATGGAGAGAACATCTATACAGATGCTTTATAGTAAGAGGCAGAAATGGATTTGGACTAACACCGCGTGCTGCTATCAATACTTGTAGGGAACTGCATACAGTGAAAACCTCATACACGCAACAGAAAGGACAACATCAACTGTTACTCTAAAAGCTCCAATGGAACCAAAACTGCTGAAAGTCTTTTAAAATTCCCAGAACTTCAATGCACCTTAACACCTTTTGTGGATGAGGAACATGAACCTTTACATGTATTAACCACTTCACCCGCAAACAAGGACATACGAATCCGCTTTACAGTTAGGGAAACAGAAGCCCCAATATGGCTCTGTGCTACGTGTCAGCCAAAGTTTTGTCTCTCTGGCTTCTTACCCACTAACCAACTGGTACTTGAGTGAGTGCCAATGTTCGTGTCACTAGCTTTTCCTTTTGGCTCTCCTGGCGGCATGTATGCAGCTGATCTCTTCCTCTGATTCACTGTTTCCCCTTCAGGACCCCCCTTACGGTAGCTCTGCCAGCACTCTGTGTTAGGCCGGCCAGCCTTCTGCATGCATGTTCCTCTTCAGTCCGAGTGACACCAGACCTGTGGCTTTAAATGCTCTCCCACGCCAGTACTTTCCAGAACTATATTTCTGGCTCTGACCTGTAGTCCTACTGCTACATCATCGTTTCCCTGCAGGACTTAGATACATTGCCAACTTTTCATGGTCCAGAAAACAGGGTTGATTCCACTCCTTGCTCAGTACTCCACTTTCAACCAATGGTGTCACCATTTACCCAGCTACTCAGGCCCAAACACAATCCAAAGACAACCAACCCCTCAACACCCCAGCTACCGGTCCAATCTTCATCCAACTGCACGTGTCTCATGTTCATCAAAAGCCCAGGAGATCCTACACAAAAACACCAGTGAGGTTAGCTCACACCTCTGATAAAAGTCCTTTGGTGGCTAACCAACAATTCTAACTCATCTTCCCAGCCCTGACCCAGCTCCCTGTTTCTCACCAACCTCATGGCTTCCACTCTCTAACCCTACTCATAACCCAGCAGCCTCCTTGGCTCTCAGTCTCAGCATCCTTAAACACCATTTCCTTCACTTGTGATGCTTGTGTCCCCCAGGCAGCCACTTGACCCTAGCATCATCTTCTATGTGTCCCCAACCAAACTCAATTGTCTCTTCCCAAGAAGCCTTGTTATTAAGTTAGCTAGACCAGCACTCACTCGTGCCCACACCACTCACTCACTACTCCTTTAGTTTTCTTCGCACCATTTATTACTAGTATTTATATTTTTACAATTACTGTCTCCCAGCAGTATGATATAAATTTCATGAAAACAGGAACTCATCTGTCATATTCACACAGTGCCTCCCACACTACCAGACATTCAATAAATATCTCGCAAATTAAAAAATTACTGAGCAGCCTACACTATGGTGCAGTGAGGCTCAGCTGTTGCCTGCAATACCAGCATCCCACATTGAAGCACTGGTTCAACTTCCTGCCGCTCCACTTTGGATCCAGCTCTCTGCCCAAAAGCCTGGAAAGGCAGTGGAAGATGGCCCAGGGGCTTGGACCCCTGCCACTCACAGGGAGACCCCAATGGAGCTACGGGCTCTTGGCTTCTGATTTCAGCTTGGCCCAGCCCTGGTCATTATAGACATTTGGAAGGTGAATCAGCAGATGGAAGGCCTTCCTCATTCCGTCTAGCAACCTGACTTCCACTAAGAGTAACACAACTCTTAATTTACACAAAAGTCCCAGGCATTTTCTTGACTACAATCAAGTTGGCTTTGGCTGTCCAGGGCCATGCTGACCAGCTAGTGCTTTTCAATCTTGCAAAGATAACGCTGTGTGAGGTTACCGAGAGAGTCACTTGCTCATCACATCCCAAGTAGGCCTGACATGAGAACGACTATATACAAATAGACCTGCCCTCTGTTCTCTCCTTCCAGGTCCAACACAGGATCAGAACATCTCTGGACATGTTTAAACACAGCTTGTCCCCAAAGGTATATTAGGATGCTCAGGAAGGTGCGAAGCTACAATCCCAAGACTTCTCAGAAATATCTATTAATAAACTCAACTCTAAAATAAAAAAAGCATTCATATAAAATATGGATGAGAGCATAAAAGACTTCAAAACTATGGCAAGCCTAAAAATACCAGTTACTTCTGTTATTTGGATTTTCCACATCTCCCAAAGGCCCAGGTATTAGGTTTGGGCTCCAAAGTCTTATGTTAATGGCACTGGGGGTGAAGGAACTTAACCCAGTGATGGTATTTGGAGATGGGCCTTTGTGAAGTAACTTAACTATATAGGAATTAAACTCTGGTGGCTTTTTTTTTTTTTTTTTTTTTTGGTATATCTGCTGGTTCACTCCCCAATAGCCACAAATGGCTGGGGCTGAGCTGATCCAAAGCCAGGAGCTTCTTCTGAGTCTCCCACGCGGGTCCCAAGGCTTTGAGCCACCCTCAACTGCTTTCCCAGGCCACAAGCAGGGAACCAGAAGGGAAATGGAGCAGCTGGGATACGAACCGACACCCAAATGGGATGCTGGTGCATGTAAGGCAAGGACTTTTAGCTACTAAGCTACCACACCACCCCTCATCCTTAGCTCTTTAAGAGTTATTTATTTAAAGATTCAGATTTGTGACAAAGGCTTTTTTAAAAAGATCTATATATTAAAAAAAAAAAAAAAGATTTATTACAGAAAAAGGCAGAGGGTCAGAGAGAGAGAAAGAGACAGAGACAGAGAGAACTACTCAATGGTTCATTCCGCAAACAGCCACCAGCAGAGCTGAGCTGGTCTGAAGTTAGGAGGAGTCTAAGCACTTAGGCCATTTTCCACTGCTTTCCCAGGCACTCTAACAGGAAGTTGGAATGGAAGGGAAGCAGCCAGGACTTAAACCGTACCCCACATGGGATGCTGGTGCTGCAGGCAGCTTCACCCACTATGCCAGCCCCCGTGGTGGCTATCTAACTGATCCCCACCTGGAGACTGCTGACAACACAGCCATCATCAGGGCCCAAGGCAATAGGGTCTGCCCAATCTTGGGCCAAGAACCTCCAAACCAATGAGCCAAAACAAACTGTTTCTCTTTATAAAGTTGGGTACCTCCTAGTTTCATTGTAGTATTTCATTGGGTGTTTTATAATTTCATTGTAACAGCAAAAAGCTGGATGACATGGTTATATGTAAATTACTTTGAATTTAAAGTAACTTAAACAGTTTTTAAATATTTAAGGAGAAACTTCTAACTATAATTCAAAATACATAAGCCACACAAAAAAAGCCCTGAAAACCTGATACAGTTGCACAAAAACAAAAGTACTTCTGCATGACTCAAAATAACTATGCAGCCAAAGTCAAAGGCCGAGCTGAGAAGGTCTCTGGCCTAGAGTAGACAGTCGATGGCTTCACTGGGCAAAGCTCCTGGAATCAAGGAAGGAAGCCTGTAAACAACCAGGAAGATGAACAAAGCACATCAACAGTTTGTTCAAAAAGAAATGGAACAGAGGAAAACGTGCTGAGTCTCATTCACAACAAGAGAAATGAAAACTAAACTAATTCGATTACATCTGCTTGACTGGCAACAATCCAAGTGTTGTAAGAGTCTGTGAAAGCAAGGCCAGGCCGACAACCACTGAAGCTCTGCTGGAGGATGTGCAAAACACATCACCCCTGCAGGGCAATTCAGGCAAGACTGATCAAAATTACAGCTGCATTTGCCCTTGACCTAGTCGGAGACAGTCACGCAACAAGTGCAAAATTATGTATATTCAAGGTAATTAACCAGAACATCATCTCTAACAGCACAAGGCTAGAAACAAATCATGAATGGTTATTCTTCAAAACTGACTAAGTAAAATTAACAAGGCATTAAATGGCTTCACTCTGTATATGAAAATAATATACTCCATTTCTGCTAGAAAACTAGCTGTTTCACACTATTTCCCATGGATCCACCCTCCCCAACCACAAGAAAGTCAAGTATCCACGGCCACCAATGCAGCTTCTCGGAGCCTTTGCAGGAGGCTGCCAGTTCCAGGTAACTGAGCCTGCTATCACACAAATCCAGATGCTACCACAACAGAAGAGGAATAAATGGTAATTTCTGGACCAAAAGCACATCATCTGCTTCTGTTACCACTCTGTGCCGAAACTGGAGACTTACTGACCTGAATCTGGTCAAGGCCAGCTTTCTCAAATTTAATTTGGTCTCCGAAACTTTGAATGACAAGTGTGCATCCCAGGTCCTAGCCAGGCAACTAAGTCAACACTCAGCCTCCTACACGTGGGAACAGACACGCCCAAACAGCCCAGGTGTCTTCTTTCCTACAGTTCGCTTCCATGATGCCAAGAACACAAATAGATCACATAAAAGTGCCAAGAGTCCAGAATCTGAAAATACATGACATTACTGCACCTCCAGTGATTTGGTGACAAAACAGGGTTGTTTTTTTCTACAGGGAGTCACAGGAATTTTATGTTTATTACAGTTGCAAAACGCACTTTGCAAGATTTTCTGGAATGTGACCAAGATAACAGATTACAAAAATTTTACAAAATTGGCAAGCTGAAACAAGGGAGGCAAATGTTCTAAACAAGTATGCAGAAATACCCTATTCTTCCAACAACAAACAGCTAGAAGTTAGGGGAAACGTAAAGCAAAACAAAGCAAAAATTAAATCCACTTTGCTATTTTCCTCCCAAAGCATAACTAATCACACAGCTTCAGCTGTGTTTTTCCACATGTAGGCCTAGAGTACAGGACCCCACACTGACCACAGTGGAGAAGCCCTTGGAGGGCTGGGGAGCACACAGATGGAGGGGCACAGGACCACACCCTGACAAGGAGCTCACAGCCCAGACGAACACACAGGATCACACCCCGACAAGGAGCTCACAGCCCAGACAAGCACACAGGATCACAGCCCCGACAAGGAGCTCACAGCCTGACAAGGAGCTCACAGCCCCGACAAGGAGCTCACAGCCCAGACAAGCACACAGGATCGCAGCCTGACAAGGAGCTCACCGGCCTTGCCACAGCTCTGACCCCTGCACAGCTTTGTTTCCTATTCCAAGGACCCAAGCCTCTCCCCCTGCACGTCACCCTGGGCTCAGGAGGGACATGCTTTGTCACTGAGGAAGAAGATCCACTTGCCTTGTGAAACCGTTCTGAATGAGTTCTCTTTGAAGCTTCTGGTCTTGAGCAGCATATTCTGAAAGTTCAGACTCCACCGCCGGAGGCAGGATATTGGGAATAAATTTAGAAAAAAGAGTTGGAGCCATCTGAACCCACTCTGTGAGGGAAGAAAAAAGATTCACCAGAGAAATTACACACATTGACTTAAACGCTAAACAGAAAGTTTCAGTTTTACTCAAAAACAAAAATTAATTAAACTAAATCTAAAGGGGACAGGGATAAGCAGTGCCATTCTAGCACAGAAAAAAAGTTAAATTTCCTTTCTGAAAAGAGCTGACTGTACAAAGGACACAGACATTTCTAGATTTCACAGGTTTAACAACTTAGTGAAAATCTTTAGGAAATTTTTCAATCTGAACATGGAGGAGAACATGAATGGGTTCTGAGTTCTGAGTAGGAGGGTCCTGGTAACACAGCGGGCCGGGGGAGCAGCAGCCCCCAGCCAGTCACGCCAACTCGGCAGGGGCCTAACGAAAAGCGGAAGCAATGACAGTAGATCTGCATTACAACAAGGAGGGTGGGGGGGAACATTTAAGTGAGCTGGAGATAAACGGTTAGATTTCTCTAGAAATAAACATTTTTCTATGTCAAATAAAAGCAAACTAAATGTATATAACCACAAAAGAGAATTAAATATTTATCAAATTAGTAAGAATAAGATCCACATGATAACCTATAAAAAATAAAAAGGCAAAAAGATGACATGGGAAAATATTTGCACCAGACATGACAAAAACAAGTTAGCTCATAGAATTTATGGGCCCTGCATGGTGGCCTAGTGGTTAAAGTCCTCGCCTTGAACGCGCCATGATCCCTTAGGATCACTGGTTCTAATCCCGGCAGCTCCACTTCCAACCCAGCTCCTTGCTTGTGGCCTGGGAAAGCAGTCAAGGACCGCCCAAAGTCTTGGGACCCTGCACCTGTATGGGAGACCTGGAGGAAGCTTCTGGCTCCTGGCTTCGGATTGGTGCAGTTCCGGCCATTGAGATCACCTGGGGAGTGAATCATCAGATGGAAGATTTTCCTCTCTGTCTCTCCTCCTCTCTGTATATCTGACTTTGTATTCGGAAAGATAAATAAATAATCTTTAAACAAAAAAAGAATTTGTATAAACCAATATAATTAGGTAAATGAGTGAAGGCAGGACTCAATAGTTTACAAGAAGAAAGTGAACAGAACTAAGTTACCCAGTTAATATTGAGAACAATTGAAACTGAAATAAACCCTGTGAATGTTGAATATACACACCGTCCCTCCACATGGGTGCAGGCTGCACCCAGCACTCCCTGCTACCTAGCTATCTCGCTACCATGCTCTCCCCTAATTTGTTTTCATCTAGCCCTTTCAAATTGGAAAATATTTTAGCTGGACATATCAAAAATTGTAAAAAGGGGATAAAAGCCAATGCTAGCCCAGTAAACTCACTCTAAAAAACTGTAATCTGAATAAAAAACATAAAATCTGAATATACTACAGTCACTGCTGTGTGTCGGAACAATGAAAGTGCAAGAGCAAACATGACGTTCTGAACAGCTAATTCCAGGAGGGCGCGCATGAGGCACCGTGCATGGCACCACACATGGCACCACGGCCAACTCCCGCCCTCCGCACGAGCTCCCAGCCCACCACTCCCAGCAGCACCAGCTCAGCTCAGAGAGCAGCCCACAACACGCTCACGGCAGCAAGGCAGAAGCCCAGGCTTTCAGTCACCTTACGGAACTCACTCAAACTAAGATGCAGAAACAAGCAAATGATGGGTTTTTTCTAACTGAATCTCTAAAATCCAGACACAAACACATCAAAAATTTATTTTGATGACCAAAAAATCATCAGAGTCTGCGGAAGGTGAAGGTCCAGGAATCTACAATTTAAAAAATGCTCTGAGGGCCCAGCATGGTGGCCTAGCAGCTAAAGTCCTTGCCTTGCAAATGCCAGCATCCCATATGGGCACCAGTTCTAATCCTGGCAGCCCCGCTTCCCATCCAACTCCTTGTTTGTGGCCTGGGAAAGCAGTCGAGGACGGCTCAAAGCCTTGGGACCCTGCACCCTTGTGGGAGATCCAGAAGAAGCTCCTGGCTCCTGGCTTCGGATTGGCTGGAGCACTCTGGCCACTGCAGCCACTTGGGAAATTAATCAACAGATGGAAAATCTTTCTCATCTGACTTTCCAATAAAAATAAATACATAAAAATATTTTTTAAAATGCTCTGAGGCAATTCAAATGAAATCACACAAAGACCATCACCTGAGACTCAGGGCAACAGAAGAGATTTCTTCATTTAAAATTCAGCTCTTAAAATATTCTAACCTTAATCTGCTAGGTGAATGAAACTGCTTTTATAAGCCAAGAACATAGCAGGTACTGGCAAGACATGAAAATGTCAAAATATGTTTGAAATATCTCTGAAATTGCCCAGGGCGGCAAAAGGTTAGTCTGTGATCAAATTCACCTTTTTAAAGTGACAATTCCCAACTACAGATTCTCCTCACAAGCAGTGTAAATCCTACTGCTCGAATGTGAAGGTAGATAAAGCAGCGTTTACATAAACATGTCTTCTGCCCTTGGTAATCTTGATTTTGCTATTTTGATTCCTTGGGAGTGTGGCACGGCTGCCTTTTTGGGAGGCACGCTGGTTACACTGCACTTGAATACTTTCTAACATAAAAGAAAAAACCAAATTATCCATAACCTAGCATCAAAAAAACTGTCAGCTATTTTCACAGCAATTCATTAAAGTAAAATCCAAAATTCTAAGAAACTAGTTTATTGGACACATGCAAGTATTTTTTGTTATTTTATAAAAGCAATTAACTCACAGAAGAAATTCCTATTAAAAACGATAACGACAGCCCCAAGATCTGACTCCAATTCAAGTAACAGCAGTTGGCTACTCTAGGAGTCACTGGCCACTTCTAACAGCCCAACAGGAAAGAAAAGAATTTCTCAGATCTGGTTTCTATTGCAGCAAGTTAAATTTTGACATACCTTTTAAATTAAGCAAGGAAATAATCAAGCTGTCACTTAAATCATTAAACTTACATGTATTATAATAACAGCAGTCAATATTTACACGGTTATTTTGTTATCAGACACCGTGTTAAGCTCTTTATATCATGTTTGTTTCGCAATTAGCTCTCAAACAACAAAATTTTCACAAAAAGCACTTCTGCAGAAGGAGTCCTTCATGGCTGCTGAACGCGCTAACAGCCTACCCCAACAACTTCCACTATCTGTCCACACATTTTTTTTTTCAACTGGTAGACAAGTCTGAGGTTCCGGCTTATAAACCAGGAAGAAGCATACAAAAGCACTTCTGGATTTCTTTAAATTGACCAGTTTTGATTCTACTACTTTGAACACTGTGATGAAATGAACGCGCCTTTACTAACACTCCTGACTCCGCCAGCCACAGCACAGGCCCACTGGAGCCGAGACGGCGCTTCACAGTGCTGCCACGCCGAATAAAACAACATTTTATACAAAGTGCACCCTACAAATTGTTTTTTTTATTTCATTCCCAGGTGCAGTAAAAAAAACAAACCAGCTGATTTTCACTGGCAGAGAAAGAACTCACAGGGAGCTTTCTGTTCACATTCACAGTGATGAGTACCTTTCTCTCTCTCTTTTTTTTGCTATAGCAAGTCCACACCTGTGTCCACACCAACATCTGGGATTAGACTGCAATGCTATCAAAATCCAGAGAGAAATGTCGAGTGTTTACCTGGTCTGAGAGTATACAGGCCTTTCACAATATTCGCCATAGTTGAAGGTGTGACCTGAAATGGTGTTGACTGGGCTTCTAAAAGTAAAGCTGAAAAAAGAAGAGAAGATAGCTTAAAAAGCAGCTAATACTTGTTAAAATTCTTCTGTTCCCATTTCTCCAAAGATTAACGGGTAAACAAGTGCACAACAGGAACAGTTCAGGAACACAAAGCAGATCATAAAATAAGATTTCTTCTTTAAACAAAGAATGTCTGCTACATTTGCTCAGGTTTATCTGTCAGGTTTATCATTCATAGATGGTTATAATTTTGAACAAAATAATACATTTCAAAGAGGACAGACGTCAAACACATAAAATCACTAAACGGCAACATTTGAAACTTGAAATTATGAATGTTAAGTTCAGAAAGTCTCCTCCGCTCAGACTGTGTTAGCACGTAGTCAAATCCAAGCTCTCTTCACTAACCCATCTCGCCCCAATCCTTTTCCAAGTTGTAATTATGTGAAAGGCAGCGTTCACAGAGAGAAAAAGAGACAGAGATCCATCTCCATCTGCTAGCCTGATTTCCAAATGGCTGTTTCAGGCAGTCAGTCTGGTCTAAAACCAGGAGCTAGGATGTTCTTCCAGGTCGTCAGGGTCACCATCCACTGCTTTCCAGGCACAACAGCAGGAAGATGGATCAGAAGTGGAGCACCCAGGGCCGGCAGCCCTTGGGAAAGCAGGTGCCACCTCACCTCTTTTCTGACCAGCACTAAGGCCTTCAACTAGCCTTGTTCTTACCAGAAATTCCTGTTCAATCACATACTGATTATGTGGTCAAATGTCTATCTGCAAACTCCCCCTGGCATAATTAACCACCTGTGCCAAACAGCTATGCAAGGACTGACAAACATCAAAGATAAAAACATACATAACGTGCATACAAACTGATCTGGGATATAATAATTGCATTGAGCAGCAGAAGATTACAGCTGAGAAGGTTTGTTAACATTTCACTAAATTCCTTCCATGAAACTGAGAAAAACTGCTCAAAACTTAAGGTTTTCTGGCTAGTCATTTATTCCCATTTAAGCAAAACAAATTTCGGTTTGGGTGAAGGATGTGAAAATATTAACTGAGTTTTCAGCAGTACTAGGTATTTTTATACACCAGAACACTTCAAAAAAGTTTGTGGAGGGCCTGGTATTGCGGGGCTGCTGAGTTAAGGCAAAGACTGCAACAGATACATCACAAAGATCCAAGTGCTATTTTAAGTCCTGGCTGTTCCACTTCAGAACCAGCTTCCTACTGGTGAGTCTGGAAGGCAGATCACGGCCCAAGTTCTTGGGGCCCTGCCAGCCATGGTGGGAGACTCTTGGATGGAGTTCCAGGCTCCTGGCTTCAGCTTGGCCAAGCCCTGGCTGTTGCAACCATCTGGGGAGTGAACCAGTGGATACAAAGTATCTCCCTTTTTCTCTTCTCTCTCTCTCTCTTTTCAAAATGGCTGTGTGCTATTGCACAAAGAAAGTAAAAGCATGATGTCAACATTAGAGAGCATCCTTAACAAACCAACCAACCAACCAGAACATGCCATAAATATGACATAAAAAGGCAGATCATATTCCCAAGATTCTAGGCTTCCATTCTACTTCTGGGATCTTTTGGAAACTTACTAACAAAACATATGTTATCTTCATCTGTATTATTTCCCTTCTAAAACAAACTCACTCAATATTGAACAATTATTTTTCTTCATTTAAAATGAAGAGTTTGTGGTCAAAGAAAAATTCTTTTGTAAATTCTGATAAAAGTTTATTGTGACAGAGAATAAGATTAATAAGAAAGCAAGAAAAAAACAGTCTGAAGACTCAAAAATAGGCTAAGTTCTTAAAACCTGATTTGATGATATACTGCATAAAATACGAGCTTTGAGAAGATATCAAAATTTCTAAACCTCACTTGGAGAGACCTGGTCCTTTAGCGAAGAGAAGAGGAACTGCCATCTACAAGGAGGGACACTGGGAATGGGGAAGAAGGAGAAACCTACTGAGCTGGCACTTAGATCCGCTTACTTCATATCCCACATGGCCACATGGAGCAGTCTAGAAATCCTAATTCAAAGAGGAACCAATAGAGTTCTACAAAAGGTCATGATGCTTGCCTAAAATATACACTTCATAAATGACGAAGCCGGGTTAGCAAGTGGCTTCTGAGCTACAGATGGAATCTGCAGCAGCGCTGCAAAGACAGAACACTGTCCTCCTAAAGCCGATCTCCTAGGGCGGCCAGGCTGGGCCAGGGGACAAACACTGGCCCAGACACAAGGCCCTCTCTGATAACCTGGCTACACACTGCTCCTGGCGCACTTGGCAGTCTTCACTCAGATTCACAATGCCCCAATGTTCCTCCTTATAGGAGAGTGGACTTCAACATTTCCAGGCAGAAGATGTTAATATCACAGTTCATTTATATGACAACGCTCTCAGAACAAAGAAAAAGTAAAAAATATTGCCAAGTGTCATGACAGCCCGAAGTAGGTTGAGTCACTCACGCATCAGGCTGTAAATGTGCTTTTCTGCAACATGTTCCGTAAACAGCTTTATAAGGTCATCTCTTAAGTCTCTGTTAAGCTTGGTTTCGATGTAAAACTTATTCTGAAAAAGAAAATAAAATTTTTTGTGTTTATCAGGTAGGAAACAATTAGTCTAACAAATCGAAGTAGAAGATATTTCAGGAGAAAATGCAAAAAGGCATCACACAGGACCAAAAAACCCACCATCAGACAGCATGAACTCTGCCAGTCTTAGTTACACACCCTGCATGGAATTAACAGTATAAAAAGATCAAACGCCTCAAGAGAAGACTGCAAACACTAGGCAATCACACCCTGCATTACGTTTGTACCTTCAACATTCTATCACAGCACCACCGTCCAAACACTGGTGCTGCAGATCAGTGTCACGAGTCCCAGTGCTCCAGTTCCGTCCTTGCTAACTCATAACTTGCTTGGGAAGACAGCAGAGGACGATCCGAGTACGTGGGACTCTGCCACCACACGGGAGGCCCGGGAGGAATTCGCGGCTCCTGGCTTTGGCTGGGCGCAGACCTGGCTGTTGTGGCCATTTCTGGGCATTAATCAGTAGATGGACAGTTTCTGTCTCCCGCTCCTCTGTCCCTCTGCCTTATCAACAAGTAATTATTAAAAAGTAAAACTACCGTTTCATCTAAAGACAACATCTGGAAACTCTAATAAAAAGTGTTCCCCGTTTGTCATGATTCTGCCGTGCTCGAGGCTCGCGGACACGGTTCATCTGGGAGCACTCTACAGGGACCATCTTTAGCTCACAGATACAGGGTAGCCCAATCAAACTGAAAGAAACCTAGACTTGAGAAAAACTTTTCCTTTTCTCCAAATTTACCCATCCTCCAGTTCACTCCCAAATGGCCAAAGTGACCGGAACTGAGCCGACCGGAAGCCAGGGGCTTCTTTCGGTTCCCGCAAGGTAGGTACACAGGCCCCAGCACTTGCAGCATCCTCTGCTGGTTTCCCTGGAACATTAGCAGGGAGCTGGATCGGAAGTAGGATAGCTGGGACTCAAACGAGTCCCTCATGGGATGTCAGTGCTGTTTCTGAACAAGTTTCTTATATAACAAAACACGTTTGGAAAGCAAAAACAAAACCTGGGTCCTAGTACCACTGCTGAATCATAAACTCCAACAGCCTGGAAACGGTCTCGTTTCTGCAGTTTCATTACAGGAAACAAGACTTACTGTCTCAAATCACTTTAAATCCATTTTCTGGGCCCAGCACTGTGGCCTAGTGCCTAAAGTCCTCGCCTTGAACGCACCGGGATCCCACGTGGTTGCCAGTTCTAATCCTGGAGGCCCTGCTGCCCATCCAGCTCCCTGCTTGTAGGCTGGGAAAGCAGTCAAGGACGGCCCAAAACCTTGGGACCTTGCACCCACATGGGAGACCAGGCTCCCGGCTTCAGATTGGCACAGAACCGGTTGTTGCAGTCACTTGCAGAGTGAATCATCGGACGGAAGATCTTCCTCTCTGTCTCTCCTCCTCTCTCTATATCTGACTTTCCAATAAATAAATCTTTTTTTTTAAAGATTTATTTTTATTATTTTTTTATTGGAAAGGCGGATATACAGAGAGGAGAGACAGAGAGGAAGATCTTCCGTCCGATGATTCACTCCCCAAGTGAGCGCAATGGCTGATACTATGCTGATCCGAAGCCAGGAGCCTCTTCCGGATCTCCCACGCGGGTGCAGGGTCCCAAAGCTTTGGGCCGTCCTCGACTGCTATCCCGGGCCACAGGCAGGGAGTGGAAGGGAAGTGGGGCTGCCCGGGTTAGAACCGGCACCCATATGGGATCCCGGGTGTACAAGGAGAGGACCTTAACCACTGCACCACCGCGCTGGGCCCCATAAATTATTTAAATATTTAAATTCCAGTGGCAATTCTTCAGCATTTATAATGTTCTTCTCTCCCAGCATCAAGTGCTATTTAAGATATTTGTGCACAGCCGCTTCATGTGCCCTTCCTACGCTTTAGTAAACAACCACAAGTGCCAATTAGGGACAGTATGAGAACACCTGAACCTCTAACCTAACCCCACCTCTTCAAATAAGAGGGCACTTAACTATTCAGTGGCAGTAACATCAGGTTCCAATATTCTAAACAAAACACAGGTATCTGAGCTCTGTGTCTTTCAAAAAGAATCTATTATGGCAGGCGCAGTGGCGCAAGTGGATAAGGTTCTTGCCTTGCACGTCCCGGGATCCCATATGGGCGCCAGTTCTAATCCCAGTGGCCCCGCTTCCCTTCCAGCTCCCTGCCTGTGGCCCGGGAAAGCAGTCAAGGACGGCCCAAGGCTTTGGGACCCTGCACCCGTGTGGGATACCCGGAAGAAGTTCCTGGATCCTGGCTTCGGATCGGCATAGCATTGGCCGTTGCGCTCACTTGGGGAGTGAATCATCAGATGGAAGATCTTCCTCTCTGTAAATCCGCCTTTCCAATTATAAAAATAAATCTTAAAAAAAAAAAGAATCTATTATGGCAACAGAGTTTCAATTTATTTTCTAGTTTAATGACCTGATTGCTAAAATCTTCAGAGCCAGATTATCTTTGATAATACTTAAAAATATTTCTTTTGGTATCTGTGATTACACAGGACAGTTTGATTATACCCATGATGGTCTAACATTTCAAAATATGTTTTAAAATAATTTATTTTTCCAACAATGTAATGCCAAATTAAGCCTGTCTATCTTCCGGACAATAAAAATAATGTATATAACAAAATTTCACAAGTAACTCAGAGGCAAAGCCACACCCTTGACCTAAATGGAAAGTTGCGGCCAAACTTGTTTTCACAATCAAAGATCCCCTGGGGATTTTGCTAGGTGTGTGAAGTCCAAAGTTCATTTCTTGTTAAATAACAAAATACCCAGAATATTTCTATAAAGATTAAGAGGGTAACAATGGCACTATAGGAATGTATAAATCACTTTGCTGTCTTATTTTATCTCAGTTTTGTTTTTACAAATTAACCAGTTAGCTTCTTCCTTAAATTCAAGCCATGACAATCTGGTCTTTTTTATAGGGAGCCACTCACCCAACCTGCCTCTTGGTAAATGCCGTGAAATGACAGAGAAGACAGCACGACAACAGAAGGGTATTTCATTGTTCTACTTATCGTGGGTAGACTTACTTGCATTTATCACATGCATATTTTTAGATACTCTGCTTTCTGATGACAAGAAATACATATTGGGCCCGGCACGGTGGCGCAAGTGGTTAAGGTCATCGCCTAGCACGCCCGGGAACCCATACGGGCGCCAGTTCTAATCCCGGCAGCCCCGCTTCTCATCCAGCTCTCTGCTTGTGGCCTGGGAAAGCAGTCGAGGACGGCCCAAAGCTTTGGGACCCTGCACCCGCGTGGGAGACCCGGAAGAGGCTCCTGGCTTCGGATCGGCATAGTATCGACCCGTTGCGCTCACTTGGGGAGTGAATCATCGGACGGAAGATCTTGCTCTCTGTCTCTCCTCTCTGTATATCCGCCTTTCCAATAAAAACATAATAAAAATAAATCTTAACAAAAAAAAAAAAAAAAGAAATACATATCTTTGTTTTTCCAGAGCCACGGAAAGCATCACGCACACGGCAGAAACTAAACAAATGCTTACTGGGCGAGTGCTGAGCATGAATGTCTTCTTGTCTGTTTAGCAATTTTTACTTAGGACATTTTAAAGAAGGGGGAAAAAGAGAATTTGTCATATAGCTGTAACTATGAAGCATTACTGAAATAACTTACTTCATAAAATGCAAATCACATAAAACATACAAAAGGAAAACAACAGACCATGCTTAACTTTTAAGCACTCCGCCAGTGCTTAGAAAGAAGGAACCCTCCAACTTACCATATATATGAAAAGAGGCACAATGCTCTGCAATGCTCCCATGTACTGCCCGAGAGCTATATTAAATCTTTCAATATAGAGATCTGGTGGGCTGGCCTGCAAGAGGAACACAGGGTCATCACTCCAGGATGCCGAGACCGCCTCCCACCTCAATCCGTAAGGCAGAGACTAAAAGGAACCGCAAACCCACACTGATGCTCAAGAAAAAATGGGGTGCTTATATCCAGAAGACTTCCTTGCTTCAAAATCTTCTACATAAAAACCAAGGTTTAGTTGTCTATCATAAAGACTCCGTAACCTTAATGCGTTACATACAGATCTACTTCTTAAGTAAAAAGATGCATTCAAATTTTAAAGTAAACGATGTGTTTCTAAAATTACTGCTGAATTACATCGACACCCTCTATGTGAATCGAACTACATCTGGGCCTGGAATGGAGGCAAAGGGAATCCAAAGAAGTGGTAAAAGGTTAATATGCTATTAAGCTGGTTAATAAATCTTTATAATCATTTTAGGCACAGCAACATTCTGAGTTCTGTGCAAACTTGATTTTAAACTACTTGTGTAGCTAACCAATCACAAACATCAGCTATAAAGCAAGGGCCCAAATGGTGCACAGCTACCTAGAACAGTATACTACATGCCTCCAATTTAAATTATTCTTACAAAGTACCATGTCATAAGACCATCACAAGAAAACACTTCTGACCTCACTGTGTGTCTTCTATCAATGGCTAGGCTATGCTAAAACCGCATCTCCTCATTCGGCCGTATTGAGATGGAAGTAATTAAGATTACATAAAGTCATACGGTATGGCTCAGATCCCACAGGATTAAGAAGAAACATTCCAAGTGGGTGGTCAGCCCAGCTGTTAGGGTGCCTGCACCCCACACTAGAATGCTGAGGCTCAGTTCTCAGCTTCATCTTCTCTCCAGTGCAGGTCCCGAGAGGCACGTCGTGATAATAACCTCAGTGTGTAGGCTCCTGCCACCTACGGGGGCGACCTGGATAGCACGCCCGGCTCCCAGCTCAGTTTGGTCCTGGTGCAATCCTGCAGCTCACAGTCAAAGCTCTCCCCTGCCCTCATTGTGTGGCTCAGAGGAAAGGCTGCATGGAAACTGCAAGTGAAGACGGCCATCTGCGAGCCTGGAGCCCAGTCCTCCCAGGAACTGGAGCACTAGTTCCTTGACCTGAGACACACATTTCTGCTGTTTAAGTCACCTAGCATGTGTTAGGTTATTTTAGCTTTGTTAAGGCAACCAAAGCTAAAATACTGAGTTTTATAAGTGAATTCACGTATCATTTCACTTTTTCTCTAAAGATCAATTGAGTACCATTTCAATATAAAGCACCTAAAAGGGCCAGTGATTTTCCTAAGACTTACAGTGTTAACAAATGAAACACTGAGACCTTCCAAACAAGAATGTGTTCTTGGGCCAAGGTTTTGTCGGATGAATTTGGTACAAAATATCATGCCAACACAACTGGTTATACAAGGTCTGATCTGTAGCAGTCTCCTAATCTGATAATCACATCTTACACAGAAGCAAAGATATTAAGAAATGTCATAATGAAAGATTTCTGAACTGTAAATGAGATTATGAAACTACAGCTAAGCAGCTTTAGAAATTTCTAAGTGTTCCAAATATTTTAAAATCAAACTTCATTTTTCCGGTAGCACTTGGCAGCACAGAACATGTACAGGAAACCACCTTCCCATGGCTAGTCTCCTCAAGAATGCAGGAGCCCTGCAGCCTGTAGGGGGCACCACACTTCCTTCCCCGGTGGGAGACGTCTGCCACTAAGGCCAAGCTCCTGGAAGGCGAGGCCATGCATCTCACCTGCTTATCTCCAGTGTAAGTGGAGAGCCTGCAGCAGGGCAGATACACAGAGAAAATAATTTTTCTTAAGGACAGATTGTTATCCAAATCTATTTTTTGTCTTTTTTTGGGTCATTGTTATTTGGGGTTTTTTATTATTATTATATTTTTTTACAATCTTTACATAGTTAATTAGGGTAAAAAGGTCTAAGGGCTATAGGAAAGTGGGTAAGACTATTATTTCCATATTGTTTCCTTCATGTTTAAAGGGGGGTATTAAGGGAGAAGGCCCACCCAATTTCCCACCCTCCCCAGGTCCCGCATGTAGGGCATGCTCCGAGGTTCTTGCTCAAGTGGTTTTGATAGTTCACCAGTTATGAATCGCTGCCAGTCTTGCCACTCCAAGCACCATGAGGTCTTTGAAGAAGCCTGGCATTATAGAAAAGTAGGTAAAACCTGCAGTGGTTTGAGTTTTGGCCGTCCCACTTCTGAGCCAGCTCCCTGCTAACAGGCTGGAAACCAAGTGCTTGGAAGACCTTGAAGAAACTCCCGGCTTCGGCCAGCCCAGCCTCGGCAGTCATCTGGGAAGTATTATAGCCCGCCTATTTTACTACTTAACAAGGCTGTGGATTAATCAGTTTGTTTAGCCCTCTGGATTTCTATTTCTATACTCTAAAGAGACAAAATACTAATTGTTCCATTTTCAAAATCTACTGCTAGGACATGGAAAATGTCAAGTAAAAATAATATACCAAAAGTTCACAGAATTAAAATTTTAACAATAAAAATATTAAAAAGGATAGTTATTTTACATTAAGTCTCATTAAATTCAAGCTATTTCTCTAAGTGACGCCACCAGCCATTTAGCCCATCCCTGAAGAACTAAGGGCCCTCAGAATTTCACCACGCCACTGCAGTTTGCTTTCCACATTACTAAGGAAAAATGGGCGCCCTGTCCCATCAACACTTTCATAAGCTCACCCCCATTTGGAAACAGGAATGAGCGACAGCACTGTTAAGTAGACAAAGACGCTGTAGAATTTCCAAGGTTTTTGTGCTAAAGCTCTGGTCTTCTTAGATATTCTCAGAACAAGCAGATGTTGTGCTTCAGCCCTCCAGAAAGCCAACAAGGACAATGCTTTGGGCATCACAGCCTCACTCCCGACCTTCACACCGGCTCTGCGGGGATGCTGCCCACAGCGGCCGTGAGCCTCACTCCCGACCTTCACACCGGCTCTGCGGGGATGCTGCCCACAGCGGCCGTGAGCCTCACTCCCGACCTTCACACCGGCTCTGCGGGGATGCTGCCCACAGCGGCCGTGACCCTCACTTCTGATCTTCACTCTGGCTTTGCCTGCCCACAGCGGCCGTGAGCCTCACTCCCGACCTTCACACTGGCTCTGCCTGGCGACAGCTTGCTGCTTCGACTATTCTTTGTCCTCAGAGTCACACTGCTTCAGCCACGCTCCAACTCCTCTGACTATCCTTGGGAAAGACATTTCAGGATCTTGAACCTATGGGTTAAAACTGCATCCTAAGTTGTGCTCTTCCCTGCACTGCTCTGGTGCACTTGGACAGCCACTAAGCAGGAAGCTTGCTCTGCTCAGTTAGAACTGTTCAAGTATGAACCAACTGAGAAGATGCATGACATTGTTTCTGCTGTTAATGACCCAACTTCAATGACCAATAACCGTGAACGGTCAGCTACTAAGGGCTTGCTTCATCACCAAGTCAGATCATCCTTCCCCCCGCCCCCCCTTTTTTTTTCCTTTTTTTAAACTTTTCATTGGAAAGACAGATATACAGAGAGAAGGAGATACAAATAAAGATCTTCCATCCGCTGGTTCATTCCCCAAGTGCCCACAACAGCTGGAGCCAGGAGCCAGGAGCCTCTTCCAGGTCTACCACAAGAATGCAGAGTCCCAAGGCTTTGGGCTTTCCCAGGCCACAAGCAGAGAGCTGGATGGGAAGTGGAGCAGCCAGGATTAGAACTAGCACCCACTGGGATCTCAGCTACTAGGCTATGGGTGCAGGGCCCAGCTCATCTCTTCTTTAACACAGGTTGTCCACTGGGGAACTGTCCTCATAAGCAATGGTTTTACCATTCTCCCACTCAACCTTCACTATAAACTTGATATTCATTCTCCATCTCGCAGAATTCACATTGCTCTGAAAGGGTCTCTTTTCAACTGCCATCTTGTACTTCTCTGGATCCTAACCAGATACGTGATAGCAAGTTAATGTTTTCAGTGTGAAAAAATCATTTTGCTGTGAAAATTTTTTTGAAATCCAATCTTATATTCATTATATATTTTTTCATGAATGTTTTGAAGATTGGTTATACATACATATGAATCAACAGTAAAAATTCTTTTCTGAATTAACTGCTCATTTATCTAATATTTAGACAAAAATCTACAACTGTATTTTTACTTGAAAGGCAGATTTACAAAGAAAAGGAGAGATGGAGAGAGGTATTTTCCATCCAGTGGTTCATTCCCCAAATGGCAGGAGCTGAGCTGATCTAAAACCAGGAGCCAGGAGCTTCCTCAGGGTCTTTCATAGGTACAGGGGCCAAATACCATGAGCCATCCTCTGCTGCTTTCTCGGGCCACAAGCAGGGAGTCAGATCCTTAGTGGGACAGATGGGACACAAATCAGCACGTCCACATGGGGTGCTGGCACCACAGTGGAGGATTAGCCTGCTAGACTACCTTGCCAGCCCCCAAATCCAATAAATTTTAAAAAGCATACTTTGCTAGCTAAAAAGTTGGGAAAAATAAGTTATACATTATAAATCACAGTTTTAAGCACAACTAATGCACAGGATCATATCTAATATCTTCCTCTAAACTGCTTCACAGATCACTGGAAATGAAAACCCAGCATTCAAAGAATAAACTTTGAAGTATTATTAAAAAGTTGTTGCACTAACATTCCCCTTTCATAAGAGATATCTTATCGAAAAGTTTTAAAGTAAGAACCTCACGGCCAACATCGTGCTATAGCAGGTTTAGCCAGTCGCCCCATACAAACCGGGGGTCAAGTCCTGGCTGTTCCACATCTGATCCAGCTCCAAGCTAATGCACCGGAAAGCATTAGGTTCAAGTACCTGGACCCCTACCACCTGTGTGGGAGACCTGGAAGAAGTTCCCTGGACCCCTACCGCCTGTGTGGGAGACCTGGAAGAAGGGCCCCACTCCTGGCTTCGGCCTGGCCCAGCCCTGGCCATTGCAGCCTTTTGAGGAGTAAACCAGCGTACCTCTTTCTCTCC